CTCCCATCTCTCCCTCTCCCTCCCTCTCCCTCTCTCTCTCCCCTCTTTCGTAGCAGACAGTAAATATAACTGTGAGCCCCTCAGGCTCGCTCTGTGCTCTTCATCTTTTTGGCGTACCACAGAAGAAGAAGGGCCTTGGCTCCACAAAGTCTTTGAGGGGGAAGCTGGTCTGAGGTCAGTACCAGGGGGTTCCTAACACCAAGGACTGTAAAAATGTTGGGGGAGAGATAGCAGCTGCGCCACTGATGCAGGAAGAAATGTTAATGTCAGATAGAAAATGTTGGTTTCAACACTGCGTCCATGAGGGGAAATGACCCTCCTCCATCTTCCCTTCCAACAAAATGTCCACTTTTGGAGAACAGAGACTAAATAAACTCATGACTCAATAAAAAAACAAAAAAAACAAAAAAGTATTTTATAGTTTCTCCTGGACGAATCAATGCATCTGCTGCCTGCTACAGATCGGTACCTTCAAGGTAGTCGGTCTAATAAAACCTGTGATTGTGTAGCTGACAAAAGGAGTCAAGTGAAGAGAGTGTGTTCTTTGTGTCAGGCTGCAGCGGTAGCGTCCTCGTACTGACTGCAGACTGTTTCAGCAAAGGAGCAAGAGGATCACTCTCCAGCTTGATGTCTGATTTATTTCTCGTGACCCCGTCACAAGATCTCCCTCCGCTGTGTTCTCCTAACTGTCGTGTCCCTCTTTCACCAGACAAACACACTACGATCCTCTGTCTTCCCTTTTTTCCCTCTCCAGATTGTACCAGCATCAGCCACAACCATTTGCATGCCCTCACCAGCTCTCCCCCACAAACACACACTCCCTTTCCCCTCCTCCCCTCCGTCACAACCCCTCCTAACCTCCCTTAGGCTAGAAATATGCCTCTCCATTCTCATCCCTCTCTGTCAAGAATTTTGGATATTCATAACTAGAATCCATCCGTTCTTTTTTTGGTAATGACCTAGAAAAAGGAGGTCGCCTTTTAATAGCTCACACACTACTTGGGTTTGATAACGCTTTCTGTTCCAGGTAGCGGTGAGTGTGTGAGAGAGAGAGAGAAAAAGA